AAGTATCGCTCCCCTCACCATTGAGGGTTATTGTGAGCATGGTGCTTTCTTTTGAGCGTTTGATTCTCTCTCAGGAGTTGGATTCCTCGCTCCATGGGCTGTTCTCGTGGTATCGACCCCTAGAGAACGCAGTGTCTCGTTCCCTACTCAGGGAACCATGGTTACATAAGTAACCTGAGACGTTTGACTCTATTCAAGGTCTGATTGACCTGATTCATGTTCTGCCCTGTGAGTTCATTGGCTATTTTCACAATCATTCATCCAAAATAATCACATATATAAAAGTGCAAATAAATCAGATGCATCTGGTAGTCAGAGTTGAACTCAATCATTGGGATGCTTGTTTTTCTTTACATACTTTTGCTTTTCCATCACCTTCATACAAAGGCGGAAAACACTGTTTGCCAACTGATGGGAGACCCTAAGTACCCGCTGTTATCCAAGGAAGGAGACGTAACTATTGGAGCAGTGCTTTCAGTTCACAGTAAAGAAACATTACCATCATTTGAGTTTACACAAAAACCTCAACGTCTGTTTTGTTCCAGGTTTGTTATTTTACATGCATTTGGTAAAAATAAGGATTTGTCTAAATTAATTGTAAAATATATAAATACATATAAAAAAACATTTATAAAAATACATATAAACATTGCTCACACTGAAAGTAATACGTGTTTCCACAGTGTGAATCTAAGAGATTTTCGTCTGGCTCAAATCATGATCTTTGCCATTGAGGAGATTAACAGAAGTGACAGTTTGCTCCCAAATGTTTCTATTGGCTACAAAATCTATGACACCTGTGGATCAAGACTCTCTTCGATGAGTGCAACCATGGCATTGATGAATGGTCATGCTATTGCGGCAGAGGACAGATGCAATGGACAGTCTCCAGTACATGCTATCATAGGAGAAACAGAATCTTCAACCACAGTGATTCTGGCCAGAAATACAGGACCTTTTAAAATTCCAGTGGTAAGGAGCAAAAACATTAAAAATGTCACTTAACCACCATACTAATTATATACTTTTTCACTGTTCTTTCTGTTACAGATAAGTCCCTCGGCCACATGTGAATGTCTCAGTAATAGGAAACATTACACATCATTTTTCAGGACAATTGCTAGTGATTACCATCAAAGCAGAGCACTTGCACAAATAGTCAAGCACTTTGGCTGGTCTTGGGTGGGAGCTGTGAACAGTGACAATGACTATGGAAACAATGGAATGACCATATTTCTGAAAGCTGCCCAGGAGGAGGGAATTTGTGTGGAGTACTCAGTGAAATTCTACCGAACAGAGACTGAAAAACTTAAAAAAGTTGTAGACACAATAAAAAAAGGCACTGCAAAAGTGATTGTTGCGTTTCTTTCCCATTTTGAGATGGGAAACCTGCTTGATGAGCTAAGTTTTGAGAACATTACAGACCTCCAAGTGATTGGTGTGGAGGCATGGATAACGGCAAAGAGTTTGATAACTCCAAGCAGCTTTCGTGTTCTGGGAGGGTCACTAGGGTTTGCAGTGAGAAAAATCAATATTGAAGGGTTTGCAGATTACATTATTAAAGAATTCTGGGACACAGATTTTTCATGCTCACAAAAGGAAGGGAATTATTCTCAATATGCAATAAATTGCAGTCAATTTCAGGATCTACTTGCATTGAAAAATTACAAAGAAGATGTGTTGGAACAAAGCTATTCAAGCAACGTCTACAAAGCAGTTTATGCTGTGGCTCATTCACTACACATTATGCTTAACTGTAAAGAAAGAAGTGGTTGTGAGAACGGTGTGACCATTCCCCCACATAAGGTAAAGTATTGAGAGATTTGCTGAAAAAAAAAATACAGCAAGAGGTTAACTATTATTATTATCATCATCATCATCATCATCATCATCATCATTATTACAGTTAAAACTGCTTACACACAAAATCTTTACTTCACAGTTTCTGAAACCTGACCCTCAAACACCAGAACCACACACTAAATATGCAAAACCATACACTAATTCTCAGCCTTTGACTCAGTTTTCAATTTTATAAAACACTTTTTGCAAAACACAACACACAATTCTCTATGTAACACACAAAAATCTGACAGGAAGTATCTTGATTTCCTTTTTCAAACACAGCCACTCAAAATGACACACGAATTCATCAGTGCCTCACACTAACTCCTCACATGTGCAAACACTCATTGCTTTACTTAACACCAACCAATCATGGCTTTAGAATAGGCCTATAAACAGTTTGTTTATAAATAGTATAAACAGTTTTGTTGATAAAAAGTTTGGTTTCAATCTTGCTTTCATGTTTGCTGTGAATGTTTCAACATCTCTTGCCAATTACTTTCAGTCTTGTACAGAAATGTGCATGGGAGCTCATGAAAGAAGAGCTTTAGGTTTTGAATAACTGTGTGCACATTAAATATACAAAAATATAATATTATGGCAAAGGTATTTGCAACGTAAGACAAATGTTTGCTTTTGATATGTGTTTGTGATGTTTGGAATGCAATGTTTCATTTTTCAATTATTATTATTATTGTTATTATTATGATTATTATTATTATTATTATTGAGGCAATTAACACTTCAAAATATCAAAATGGTCTTTTTGCCAGGTGGTCGAGGCTCTTCAAAATGTGCATTTCACTACAAAGATGGGAGATTATGTGTGGTTTGACAGCACTGGTGCAGTTGTAGCCCAATATGAAGTTGTAAACTGGCAGCAGGATTCAGATGGATCAGTACAATTTAAACCAGTGGGATACTATGATGCTTCACTACCTCCTGACCAGCGCTTTGTGCTCAACACTGACAACATTATTTGGGCTGGAGGACAGCTAGAGGTAAACAGCAATGAACAAATAGTTCAGATTTTAATATGGGTCACCACAATGTCAAAATCTATCAATGATCAAAATCTGAATGCATATTTTACAGTTTTTTCAAAATGCTTATACAGTTTTTGAAACTATTGCTCCATTTCTCAAAACTCTACACACAAAACAACAAAACACACACACACAACATACAAAATGTCACACACATCTTGCAAAAGCAAACACTTCTTTGAAAACTGTTTTAACTTTTCTAAAAATGGTATTTTGCCTAAGAGCATAGTGAACATAAAATAATTAGCCACATACACGCCAAACTACACACAGATGTGAAAAATGTAAAACACTACTCTCATGTGGTCTTTTGATTTTTCAGAGTGCAGTGGAACACAGGAGTTTGTCATAGTACTTTCACATACTGTACATGCATATGCACATATACACTGTATACAGTATGAATGACTGATGAATTTTACAGTTGCGCAACTTAAACTGAATCAATACTCAACTGACTTGAACAGTAGAATGACACTATTGACTTAAGGCTGTATATATATAGAAGTTTTTGTTTACACAATATATGTGTATACGGTGTATATTTATTATATATATATATATATATATATATTTAAGAAAAATATGTTATGTTTATATATTAAATATATTTATATTTAATATAAAATATAAGAATATGAATATATAAATGTATAAAGGTGTAAATATTTTCAAATCATCAAATCATATCAGTGTAAATATTTTCAAAATATTTA